ATGGGGGTCGATCCGAATCGGAAGGGTAGATTGGGGGTCGAAGAAAAAACAATTCTTAATACGCAAATCACACATTCTTAATTGAGTTTGTGAAATTTGTGAATTTTTTTATAATTGACTTAATATCAATTTCTTTATAGAACATAAATTAATAAGCGTATATTTATTGGGGTGAGACAAGTATTTACGTATTTAAAATTGCAAGTTCTCTATTCAACTTGATGAATCTGTTTTTGGCGTTTCTGCTATTCTTATGATGTACGATGGATATTTTAGTAAAATTAAAGGACAAGTCATTGATGAATTTTTATTTGCTAAATATTTTGAAACTGATGGAGAAGGAGAGACAATTTTTAGATGTTTACAAGAATATTTAAATAAATTAATAAATGTGATATTCCGCTTGAAAATATAACAGCGGTAGCCACAAATGGTACATTTCTCAAAGAAAAAGGGCCCGGTATACGTACTATTCACTGTGTGTTACATAGGAACAACTTAGTAGCAAAATATCTGAGTCCAGAGTTACTTAAAGCTTTACAGTTTTGTATTAAGTGTATCAATCAAATTAAAGCCCAACCTCTTAAATCAAGAATATTTTCCAAACTTTGTGTAGAAAACGACGAGTTATTTAACCAATTACTTCTGCACACCGAAGTTAGATGGTTGTCTAGAGGTGCATGCTTGCAAAAGCTCGTTGAGTTATTTGACTACACGACCGAATTTCTCAGCGAAATAAACCCTGTTCTGATTGATGAACTCCAAAACAATAAGAACCATATTTTTTATTTAAACTTATTTGGAAAATTTAATGATGTCCAAACAAAGCTGCAAGGAAAAGATGTAACAATTATCGAAGCTCGAACAATACTGTTAGGCTTCCAAGTAAAATTAAATTTATTTAGATCTTCATTGCTACGTTAGGATTATCAGTATTTCTCAAATCTGCGACAGATGGAATAAAAGAAGAAGACTTGGAAATATATGCAGATCATCTTCAAAAATTGAGAGACGATTTTAAACTGCGCTTTGTTGATTTGGAAAACATTGACATCCCTGATTGGATTATTGAGCTAATTTCTGCTCAAATTGAAAACGTGGAAATCAACCTGCAAGATGAGCTTGCTGAATTATTATCGGATCTTGAAGCAAAGACGCTTCTTGAAAATTTAACAATAAGCAAATTTTGGACAAATATAAATATAATGCGAAAATATGTAAAACTTTACGAAATAGCTCAGCCATATATGCTAGCATTTCCAAGTTCCTGTATGGTTGAAGTCGGTTTCAGTCACGTAAATTCAATCTTAACTATGTACAAATAAATTAAATTAAATGTGGAGTTTCGAGGGGATTTAAGATTAAAATTGACCAATTTTGAACCCAATAAAGCGAACTTTGCAAAAAAACATCAGGCACACCCATCTCATTGATTAAGAAGCAATAAATTTGTAGTTACTTTACTTATTATTTCTATTTATTTATAATTACTTATTATTTAATAAATATTGAGGTATTTAAATTTCAACATTAATATATTTTTCATAAAACTATTGTTACACTATGTACTATTACCTTAATAAATGTTTAAAATCATAAAATAAATGTACAAACACAGTATCTAATAGAGTTTTATTTCAATTAACAGAAAATTACTTCTTATGAGGGTCGATGGAGATTTCGAAAAATTATATAGGGGTCGATGATCAAAAAATTTTGGTGACCTATGGTGTAGGGTATACCGGGCAGTGGCACTTACCTTAAAAAACATCAGTGTAGGGTATACCGGGCAATTTATGATTTTTATAGNTATGGCACCAGACCTTAAAAAAACATAGTGTAGGGTATACCGGGCAGTTGCACTTGACCTTAAAAAAACATCAGTGTAGGGTATACCGGTCAAATGTATACCGGACAGTGGCACTTAACCAGACCTAGTATATATTTCGGACATTTACCAAAGGTCTAGTCATACTAGGTCTAGTTAAGTGCAGCTGCCCGGTATATATTTGCCCGGTATATCTCACACTATGTTTTTTAAGGCTCAGAGCCACTGCCTGGTATATATTTGCCCGGTATTTCCTACACTGATGTTTTTTTAAGGTTCAGTGCCACTGTCCGGTATACATTTGCCCGGTATACCCTATACTGTTTTTTTTTAAGGTCAAGTGCCATCGCCCGGTATATATTTGCCCGATATTCCAAACACTGATGCTTCTTCTAATCTATTTTCAGTAAGTATTAAAATATCGAATAAATGTAATTATATCCAGGAATAAATTAATATCAAATCGGATGTAATAAATATTTCGGACATTCACCAAAGCGACTATGTGATTGTCAACATTCACCAAAGCGACTATGTGATTGTCAACATTCACCGGTGAAAGTCAACAGCCACCGATTTCGGTCATTCACAGTAACATGCACATATACACATAATAACCTCATCAGGACGTTTATTTCACACTTTGCCTAAATAGCATTTGTCAATCTATAGAATGCCTAGGCATTATAAACAATGTCTAGGGCAGAGGTCGCCAAAGTGGTCTATATAGACCCCCAGGGGTCTATTTAACAAAAGTGGGGGTCGATCCGAATCGGAAGGGTCGATTGGGGGTCAAAGAAAAAACAGTTCTTAATACGAAAATCACACATATCTAATTGAGTATGTAAAATTTGTGAATATTTTTTATATTTGAATTAATATCAGTTTCTTTATAGAACATAAATGAATAAACGCATCATCAAAAACGTGGACATCAACCTGCAAGATGAGTTTGCTGAATTATTATCGGATCTTGAAGCAAAGACGCTTTTTAAAAATTTAACAATAAGTAAATTTTGAACAAATATATATATAATGCAAAAATATGTAGAACTTTATGAAATAGCTCAGCCCTTTTATGCTAGCTTTTCCTAGTTCCTGTATGGTTGAAGCCGGTTTCAGACACGTAAATTCAATCTTAACTAAGTACAGAAATAAATTGAATGTGGAGTTACGAGGGTATTTAAAATTAAAATTGACCAATTTTGAACCCAATATAGCGAACCTTGCAAAAAAAAAAAAAAAAAAAAAAAAAAAAAAAAAAAAAAAAAAAAAAAAAACCCAGGCACACTCATCTCATTGGTTAAGAAGCAATAAATCTGTAGTTACTTTACTTATTATTTCTACTTATTTATAATTACTTATTATTTAATAAATATTAAGGTATTTAAATTTCAGCATTAATATATTTTTTATAGAACTATTGTTACACAATGTACTATTACTTTAATAAATGTTTAAATCATAAAATAAATGTACAAACACAGTATCTAATAGAGTTTTATCTTAATTAACAGAAAATTACTTTTATGGGGGTCGATGGAGATTTCGAAAAATTATATAGAGGTCGATGATCAAAAAAGTTTGGCGACCCATGGTGTAGGGAAAGTATGTAATAATTCTCACATTTCATGCTTTGCCTAAAAACATCCGGCATTCTATACAATGCCGGCGTTTCATACTTAGTCGGTAACATATAGATTACATAATTAGTTTTACATATTGAATATTTAGTATTGCATATCACACAATCAGTTATATGTAATATGAAAGTAAACTTTATTTTTTTACCGTTTAATGTGTGTAAAACGGTAACTAAATATTTTTACCACAAGATTTTACATCTAGATTAAACAGTGAGATATCTTTATAATATAGCGAAGTGATAACACATTTGGTTTTAAGCTATTGATTTCAGACAATCGATTGCGTAAAAGAAATAAAACCGAAAGCATCAATTAAGAAGAAAAAAAAAACACAATAATAACTAAGAAAAATCACAAAAAATGATAAATAAATATTACTGGTAAATACGTTTAATTAAAGGATAAATTTATAATTGTAGAAAGTGAGACGAACTCTCTGCGTTAGCTTATGGTTCTGTGTTTCTACTAATGAAGCATGTGGTTGTAAATTAATAATTTTTAGGTTGTTGTAGTTCATTAATGTTACACTAGAGCTGCACAATGAGCTATTGGCGACTGTCTGGGAAACATACCTGAGGATGATCCGAAGACATGCCATCACAATTTTGATCCTCTGCAGAGGGGATGGCACCCCCGCCTCGGTAGCCCGATGACCTGCACTTTACGGTAGAACAGTTTAACGAGAACCCATACCGCACACCCCCGGTCCCTACGCAGACTGATCCAAGTGGTCACCCACCCTCACACTGACCGCAGCCAGCTATGCTTGACTTCGGTGATCTGCTGGGAACCATGTCTTAACGATCAGTCCACGCGGGACAATAATTTTTAGGTAAATACCGGTTTAAATATTTATTAATTTTATACTAATGACAGCCAAGGATGTTTGGTTCATCGTTATTTGAGGATCGTATGATGCGATATTGCTTGTCCAATAAGAATGCACGAAACAGTTAGTCGATAATTACCTTTCAGTGATTTATAAAGATATAAACTTTAAAAAATCCTAGCTTATTTGTTGCAACTATCTTTCATTTGCAACAATGTTAAATCTAAACTTATATTTTAATATGAAGAGATTTTTCAATTTTTTTTTAAAAATTTCCAATGAATCCTGTGTTAATATTTCGTCAATTCAGGTATTTACAGGGCAGATTTGTGGGCTACTCTTTCAGGGGCACCACGTTAGAGGTGGGCCAACGTGGCTCCCCCAGTAAAGACATATAGTACAAAGAATGAAAGAACATCCATGCCTTGCCCGGGATTCGAACCCATAATCTTTCTGATGCGAGGTCAGTTCCTCTGTTCAGTCGGCATTAATATGAATAGATTCTAAAATGCGGGTTCTATTTTATCACTGTTAGGTTTTAATGAATTGAACATCTTTCGGAAATGAATAACATGAAAACATTTTTTCTTCTTAAATTTTACGACTCAAAATTGATTTAGTAAAAGTATAAAGTAAGATTATTGTCCAAATATCAAATAAAAAATACAACGTAATAAATGATGTGCTTTGTTCACATTTTTTTCTTTCTTCACTGGTCAGCTTTTGTGTGGAATGGTTCAATATAGCGAGCCATGTTACGAATGTTCTGCATTGACATTCATTTCCGGGTAGGGAGGAAGTTTCAATTTCAGGATACTTAATGCTTGTTATTGCTTATGGTGAATGTTGTTTTTGATTATATTGCACTGACTTTTGAGAGGCCTTTTAACAAAAGGAACATAAACTGCCCCAATTCTTCACCTGGCAAATTCAATATGCTTTCTTTTAATTGAGGAAAAGAATTCTAACAAAAAGATTCCAAACTATTTTTGAATCTTTTTCTATTATACAGAGATACTATAAAAATAAAATCCATAATTATGGATCCAAGGCATTAAAGGTTCGTCAGTTACAATGAGTGCTTCAGTTTTGTTTGGTGGAGTCACCTTCGTATTTTTCTTCGTATATTCTATGCCTCAGCCAGAGATAACAACACCGGGAGGCATCTTGAACACGATCTGCCATAAAGGTTGCACTGAGATAGTAGTCCATGAATCCAACTGCTGTGAGTAAATTTTAAAATTTCTTATCCTTTTCTTTGGTTTTTATACACTTTACGAGAGAAATGAATTCTTTTTTCGTGGACCTGAAAATTTAAAGTTTCAGTTAGTAGATACTGGTTGTTGTATGTACACTTTAATAACTAAGTAGCCACTTTTTCCTCAAATCTTATGAGTCGGTGAAATCTTTTCATTTAATAGCCACTTTTTGCGAACTATCTTTTTTGCTTACATTATATTACATTTTTAAAAATTAATTAATTAAATTATATTTAAAAAAAATTCAAATTAGAAATAATGTACGGCTAAAAAAAGTAAATTCAACAATGAAAATGATATATGACACAATATAGTTAAACAAACTGACTTTAAAGAACTTTTTTTGAAAATATTGTGGAGGTAAAATATAATTAATGTATACTTTGAAATATGTGAATTGTTAAAGAGCTCTCATTCTACATGAATCTTTCCGGATGGATTATTAAAGATTTTGAAAGGCGACATCATTTTGATGAAAATTCTGTTTTACAGAGTCTTTCTGCATTAATCAACATTAAAACAATAATTTTAAAAAAAATCGATGAGTGAGCGGATATTTATTTAATTTAAGTTGTCACATTTTTGTTGATTCGCCGCGTGGTAATTTTCTAGCCCACCTCTTCGGGAGAAGCGTAAAAAAGTAGTTCAACTTTTATTGACGTCAGTGCTGCTTAATTATGATAATAGATCCTAATGGTATTATAGTAATAGGTATCTTAATATGATAATAATAGGCTAGAATAATAGGCTTTTTACTATCCGTGGAAACGTAATAACACCGAAATGCATGTAATTAACAGGATTTATTCCTTTCATATTTGTAAAACTTTATTTTAAAAAGATTACTAACATTCATAACTTTTATTCTAATGACCAGATTTTCGTTAATCGCAATTGTTTGCGAGCTCAACCTTAAATATGCGATAAAGTTAGAACGATGAATTTCATCTTTTGTGTGATTTTTTTAATTTTATTGGATCAGATAATTTTCTCTGCTTCGTAAACTAACATTCTAAATTTTCCATCGCTCTCTTAACTTAACTATTAGGGCAATATTTTCTAGATTGCGGCACCCACACCCACAAATGAAGATCAAGAATCCTAATGTGTCGAATTAATATGGATTTTTTTATTAAGATGAAGTATGTTTTTGTGCCTGTTTGCTTCCCTTTAAATATCGTCAGCAGAAATTGATTAGCGAATGTCAGCATAAACTCTCGAATCATTAAGATTTTTTATTAGTTCTTGAAAATTGCAATATTTGAACAAATGTTATTCTAGTTGATATTCTTTTTTTGGATCACTGTAAAGTTTAACGAATGAAATTTGTTGCAAGGAATAATTGTGAAAGCCCCGAAGAAATGTTTTTTTTTGTACTTTTGACATTTTAGTTATTTTTAAACAAACAGCTTTTTAAATAAAACGGTTGCCGATAACAGAAGTTATCAGGGCGAAGAGGCGTAAAATAGGCATATGGAGAAGACTGGACCAGTCCCACAATTTCTATTTGATTTATTAAGTGGTTACATACAGAGCAAAGAAAAACAAATGAAGAAATGCTATATGAATGTTGCAACGCATGAAAATCGTTAAGAAGCAAAAAATCACTCCCCACCAGGGCCGGATTAGCCTATAGGCACACTAGGCACGTGCTTAGGGCCTGCGAAATTCAGGGGCCTACTAAAAACTTGGGAGAAAAGAATTTGTTGACAAAAACAAATTAGCTTTAAAAACAACAAGTGTATTTCGCACAAAATTATGAAGATGCAAATAAAAAATATAATATTTCTCGGTAATAAATTATTTTGCAGAATCTTATGATCTAATATATTACTCCTATATCTTGTT